ACATCTTACAGTCAGGCCAACCACCCTCAGCAGTCACATCTTCAGTCGGGCTAACCACAGTCAGCAGTCACATCTTACGGTCAGACCAACCACAGTCAGCAGTCACATCTTACAGTCAGGCCAACCACTGTCAGCAGTCGCATCTTACATTCAGGCCAAACACCATCAGCAGTCACATCTTACAGTCCGACCAACCACAGTCAGCAGTCACATCTTCAGTCGGGCTATACACAGTCAGCAGTCACATCTTACATTCAGGCCATCAACAGTCAGCAGTCGCATCTTACATTCAGGCCAACCACTGTCAGCAGTCACATCTTACATTCAGGCCAACCACAGTCAGCAGTCACATCTTACAGTCATGCCAACCACAGTCAGCAGTCACATCTTCAGTCGGGCTAACCACAGTCAGCAGTCACATCTTACAGTCAGGCCATCCACAGTCAGCAGTCGCATCTTACATTCAGGCCAACCACTGTCAGCAGTCACATCTTACAGTCAGGCCAACCACAGCCAGCAGTCACATCTTACAGTCAGGCCAACCACCGTCAGCAGTCACATCTTACAGTCAGGCCAACCACTGTCAGCAGTCACATCTTACAGTCAGGCCAACCACTGTCAGCAGTCACATCTTACAGTCAGGCCAACCACTGTCAGCAGTCACATCTTACATTCAGGCCAACCACTGTCAGCAGTCACATCTTACAGTCAGGCCAACCACAGTCAGCAGTCACATCTTACAGTCAGGCCAACCACAGTCAGCAGTCACATCTTCAGTCAGGCCAACCACTGTCAGCAGTCACATCTTACGGTCAGGCCAACCACAGTCAGCAGTCACATCTTACAATCAGGCCAACCACTGTCAGCAGTCGCATCTTACAGTCAGGCCAACCACAGTCAGCAGTCACATCTTACGGTCGGGCCAACCACAGTCAGCAGTCACATCTTACAGTCAGGCCAACCACAGTCAGCAGTCACATCTTACAGTCAGGCCAACCACTGTCAGCAGTCACATCTTACAGTCAGGCCAACCACAGTCAGCAGTCACATCTTACATTCAGGCCAACCACAGTCAGCAGTCACATCTTACATATAGGACAGTATTAGGACTAGGTAAATCGTACATGACAGGTGAGATAACATGAAATCCACATGATTAACATTGTAATTGTGGACTGAGTTATCAGTAGTGCATTGAAATAAACGCCCACCTAAGTTAAGCAGATCAATGATCCTGATACGTTCCACTGTCTTGCTTGTGCAGATCCAGCAACATCTGGTGGCAGCTCTACAATAGGGCTTTGATAACGGTAGCATACGTGCCACATCATCATGGAAATTAACATAGCTTGGTCTCGTGTAAGGAAAATCTTTACATCAGAGAGACAGCATTTGTTAAACAGAAGGTATTTTTTAACCCCTGGTGAAGGATTAGAAAGAGGTATCCAATATTTTTTGTCAGAATTCACTTTGTTTTGTGTATGCATTTTGGTGAAGATTCTTTTTATGTTTTTTTTGTGAAATGTGTGGGTTTTGCTTGGTGGCATGGGACAATAATTGACATGTTGACATGCTGCATATCCGTCATTGTGACTGCCATGTCAGCCTGCCCTTCCTGCATACTAATCAATTCACTGCCTGCAAGGCCAGACCAGACCAGACCAGACCAGACCAGACCAGACCAGGCACGGAGAGCTGATCAATAGCCTGTGTCTTATGGTGCTCCTCCCATCATAATGACAGGCGTTGTCGGCCACTGGGTTCAACTTTATGTCTTGTGGCCTTTTTCTTAACATGTTCTATTAGTGTTGTGAAATAAATATCTATTTTTCAAAGTAGCAGTGAGTGAGTGAGTGAATTGGGTTTAAGGCCTCTTTGAACAGTATTCCAGTTATATCACAGTGTGGCAGCTTAATGTGTGAGGAAAGCTTGAAGTGTTGCAGGTCTCAGATGTTTACCAATTTGGTGAAAGACATAAGCATGGGTGTGGTGCTGACAAACCTAGAAACGTAAGCGGGGCAAACCGGGATTCGAACCCACGATCACAGATTCCTGGCATGCCCAAGGGATGCAACTCTGCACGGTGAATTGCAGCGCCTTAGACAACTGGGCCATCTGTGCCTCCCTTCAAAGTAGCAAGATGTTAACTTAGATGGTTGATGTTTCTCACAATACATCTTTCAGCTAGATTGTGAAATTCTAATTACAAAACCATATCATAAATCTGAACATGTGTCACCATTTGGTGATTGTATATATTTAACATGTAGGAATCAAAAGATGCTCAAAGGGGGAGACTTGGAAATACAGACATAAGTTATTCCAATTTGACTTGAATAGATGAATCTTGGCACTGTCGAAGCTTGAGAGGAAGTTGTGTTATGCTTAGTAATGCTTCATCATCCACATAAAAGATGCCTCCACTGTTCTGTGATCAGTAAAGATTATTTTTGTTATGCATTTTGTGTAATTACATTTGTTGTGGGTACAATGATACACAATCAACCTGGTCTCCATCCTCACCATGACACCAAACAGTCCTCCAACGACCTTTCCTAGCCCTGAATCAACACGAGGGAAGCTTATTACACATTCAGCACTGATAAACATAAAGTGTCTTGTAAACTTGTTGTACAATGTTGATTGAGCTGCAACAGCAGGGTGAGAGTTGGTAGTCAGAAGTACTGCAACATGGGAGCAGCTCGTCCACGGTTCGCTCCGATGGGATCATTATACATGTACAAGATCTGTTCTATTCAATGATGTATGTTACTGACACAGGATCAGTATCATGTATAATGAATATGGAGGTTTTGTATTATGATCTAATGTATTTGTTCCTGGTGGGACATTACATTTGAGCCTGTATTGAAGTGTGCCTTACATTAACACCTATCAGTTGCCTGACACACAATCACTCATACACTTATCAAAGTCATAATGGTAGTGTGGAACAGCTTCACGCCATGTTGTCAGATCAGAGCCATGGAGGATTTATGTTTAGTGATACAGAGTCTGAATAATTGATTTAACTAACATACATGGTACTGGGAGTAGATACCTTATACATTGTACCTGTTATATATGGACTGTATAAGTGCTATGTACCACTTGATATATGGACTATGTTAGTAATATGTACCACTTAATACATGTACTATATCAGCTTTATGTACCACTTTATACATGGAGTATACTAGTGTATTGTACCACTTTATACATTGATTATATTAGTGTTATATACTACTTTATACAGAGACTATATTTGTGTTATGCAGCCCTTTATACATGGACTATATTAGTGATATGTACCACCCTATTCATAGACTATATTAGTGTATTGTGTATTTTTGTACCACTTTATGCATGGACTATATTAGTGTATTGTGCCACTTTATGCATGGACTTTATCAGTTGGTTGGTTTGTTGTTTTACGCCGCACTCAGCAATATTCCAGCTATATGACAGCAGTCTGTAAATAATCGAGTCTGGACCAGACAATCCAGTGATTGATATCATGAGCATCGATCCACACAATTGGGATCGATGACATGCATCAACCAAGTCAGCGAGCCTGACCACCCGATCCCGTTAGTCGCCTTTTACGACAAGCATAGTCACTTTTTACGGCAAGCATGGGTTGCTGAAGACCTATTCTACCCCGGAATCTTCACGGGTAGACTTTATTAGTGTATTGTGACACTTTATGACACTAGTACTATGTTAGTGTTTTGTACCACTTTAAGACACAAGGACTATTCATTTTAAGTACCACTTTATGTCACTGGGACTATATAAGTGTAAAGTATCATTTCTTTACACTAGGACTATATCAGTTTTATGTACCACTTTATGACAATAGGACTATATCAGTTTTATGTACCACTTTATGACAAAAGTTCTATATCAGTTTTATGTACCACTTTATAACACTTTGTGTATCACTTTATGAGATATGGCCTCTTTCAGTTTTATGTACCACTTTAAGACACTAGGACCATTAGTTTTAAGTACCACTTCATGACACAAGAACTATATCAGGTTTATATACCACTTTCTGACATGAGCATTATATTAGTTTTATGTACCACTTTGTGACACTAGGGCTATATCAGTTTTATGTTCCACTTTGATATTAGGACTATCAGTACATGTATCACTTTATGACACTAGGACTATATTAGTTTTATATACCACTTTATTTGATACGGACTCTATCCATTTTATGTACAACTTTTTGACACTAGGACTATATCAGTTATATGTACCATTTTATGACTCTAGGACTATATTAGCTTCATGTACCACTTTATGACACTCGGTTTATGAACCACTTTATGAGATATGGACTCGATAAGTTTTATGTACCACTTCAAGACACTAGGATCATGAGTTTTAAGTACCACTTCATGACACGAGAACTATATCAGGTTTATATACCACTTTCTGACATTAGGATTATATTAGTTTTATGTACCACTTTGTGACACTAGGGCTATATCAGTTTTATGTACCACTTTGTGACAGTAGGACTACATCAGTTTTATGTACCACTACTGTATGTATTGTGATACCAGGACCATATTAGATGTCTCTGTTACTATAAATAATACAAGGACTTTTGGGCCTATATATCACTGTATGTTACACAAGGACTGTTGCAGTATGGTGTATCCCTGCTGTACATGTACATGTTAATTTTATGTATCAAAAGTAGTGACTTCTGTATTTGCTCTGTGTCTGCAATATTTATCTAAGACATGTACTCAGTTTGAAGTTCTTGTTTGGAAGAAAATGTTCCCATCAAGCACAGCCAGTTGACTTCCTGAATGCATGCACTGCATGCTAATGCACCCTGAGACATGCTTATGCTATGGTGAACATAGTTGGCAACATGTGGCTTTCCATTCAGAAGTATGTACAGATGAGTGGTAACCCGAGAACTCATGTTTTATGTAGTGGCAAGTTGATATTATTAACGATATTGTTGTACATTGCAGATTTTCCTCCTCTGATGAAGATGACTGTATGGATGACATCCCTCTGATGGCTGGAAGTGGAAATATACAGGACTTCCACATTGACGAGAATGACTCGTTGATGAAGGAAAGAAAGTACCGCAGCTATCGCACACGCTCACTGGGCTACTTCCTGTCTGAGGGCTGGATAAATATGTGTGCAAGGTGAGAAAAATTTAAATTGGAATAACTAGATACTATGCTCTGGTTAAGTGTATGACATCACTGATGAGTCGGCCTGGTGTGATTCCTGTGTAGAATCAGTTGCAAGTTCCTGCTGTATGTGTGAAGATGTGACTCAAATCAGAACCACTGAAAATCACGAACTGCATTACTAAAGTATGGAAGACACAACTATTTCTCCATGACATCTTCACCTGGTACCCCAATAGGTTACAAGAGACATGACTATTTCTCCACCAATAGGTTACAAGAGACATGACTATTTCTCCACCAGACCTTCACCTGGAAGCCCAATAGGTTACAAGAGACATGACTATTTCTCCAACAATAGGTTACAAGAGACATGACTATTTCTCCACCAATAGGTTACAAGAGACATGACTATTTCTCCACCAATAGGTTACAAGAGATGTGACTATTTCTCCACCAATAGGTTACAAGAGACATGACTATTTCTCCAACAATAGGTTACAAGAGACATGACTATTCCTCCACCAAACCTTCACCTGGTACCCCAATAGGTAACAAGAGACATGACTATTTCTCCAACAATAGGTTACAAGAGATGTGACTATTTCTCCACCAATAGGTTACAAGAGACATGACTATTTCTCCACCATGACTATTTCTCCACCAATAGGTTACAAGAGACATGACTATTTCTCCACCAATAGGTTACAAGAGACATGACTATTTCTCCACCAATAGGTTACAAGAGACATGACTATTTCTCCACCAATAGGTTACAAGAGACATGACTATTTCTCCACCAATAGGTTAGAAGAGACATGACTATTTCTCCACCAATAGGTTACAAGAGATGTGACTATTTCTCCACCAATAGGTTACAAGAGATGTGACTATTTCTCCATCAATAGGTTACAAGAGACATGACTATTTCTCCACCAATAGGTTACAAGAGACATGACTATTTCTCCACCAATAGGTTAGAAGAGACATGACTATTTCTCCACCAATAGGTTACAAGAGACATGACTATTTCTCCACCATGACTATTTCTCCACCAATAGGTTACAAGAGACATGACTATTTCTCCACCAATAGGTTACAAGAGATGTGACTATTTCTCCACCAATAGGTTACAAGAGACATGACTATTTCTCCACCATGACTATTTCTCCACCAATAGGTTAGAAGAGACATGACTATTTCTCCACCAATAGGTTACAAGAGACATGACTATTTCTCCACCAATAGGTTACAAGAGACGCGACTATTTGTCTGTACCTCCATCAGGGAAGAGCTGACACACAACATGGTCATATAGGATTGATATGGTGTGATCGTGTCTGCCTTTGTAGTCAGCAGTATCTCATGACTCTGTCCCTCTCTTGCAGCTGTTGGAGCAGAATATTCAGTAGATGTCGACGGCAGAAGGAATACAAGCCACGAAACGTCTACATCGGTCTTGCCACAGGACCACAAGAAAAGTACCCAAGAAATGTTGTAAAAAATCAAAAATACAGCATCATTACTTTTATACCAAAGGTAGGCAAAAATAGGGAGGTGGAAGACAGTTTCACTTGCCCTTTGATTTGTTCAAAATATTCATCCAAGAAGTCAAGGACAGTTTGTTCTAACTTTGTGAAACACTTAGAATAGGTTCCTCATCACTAACATGTCTATGTGCTGAACGGATCAAATCAATTAGTTGAGCTTGTACAATGAGTCTCATCATCTGCATATGCATTTTGATTCAAATACAATAACTTTTGACTGAACATCACAAATAAGATCATGGATGAGAGACACACAATAACTTATTACAGTCTTCAGGTAATGGTATTACTGGATAACTGGCTACAGTCTTCAGGTAATAGTATTACTGGATAACTGGCTACAGTCTTCAGGTAATAGTTTTACTGGATAGTTGGCTACAGTCTTCAGGTAATGGTATTACTGGATAGCTGGCTACAGTCTTCAGGTAATGGAATTACTGGATAACTGGCTACAGTCTTCAGGTAATAGTATTACTGGATAACTGGCTACAGTCTTCAGGTAATGTTATTACTGGATAACTGGCTACAGTCTTCAGGTAATGGTATTACTGGATAGTTGGCTACAGTCTTCAGGTAATGGTATTACTGGATAGTTGGCTACAGTCTTCAAGTAATGGTATTACTGGATAACTGGCTACAGTCTTCAGGTAATGGTATTACTGGATAGTTGGCTACAGTCTTCAGGTAATGGTCTTACTGGATAACTGGCTACAGTCTTCAGGTAATGGTATTACTGGATAACTGGCTACAGTCTTCAGGTAATAGAATTATTGGATAACTTGCTACAGTCTTCAGGTAATAGTATTACTGGATAACTGGCTACAGTCTTCAGGTAATGGTATTATTGGATAACTGGCTACAGTCTTCAGGTAATGGTATTACTGGATAACTGGCTACAGTCTTCAGGTAATGGTATTACTGGATAACTGGCTACAGTCTTCAGGTAATGGTATTACTGGATAACTGGCTACAGTCTTCAGGTAATAGTATTATTGGATAACTGGCTACAGTCTTCAGGTAATAGTATTATTGGATAACTGGCTACAGTCTTCAGGTAATGGTATTACTGGATAACTGGCTACAGTCTTCAGGTAATGGTATTACTGGATAACTGGCTACAGTCTTCAGGCAATAGTATTATTGGATAACTGGCTACAGTCTTCAGGTAATGGTATTACTGGATAGTTTGCTACAGTCTTCAGGTAATGGTATTACTGGATAACTGGCTACAGTCTTCAGGTAATGGTATTACTGGATAGTTGGCTACAGTCTTCAGGTAATAGTATTACTGGATAACTGGCTACAGTCTTCAGGTAATGGTATTACTGGATAACTGGCTACAGTCTTCAGGTAATGGTATTACTGGATAGTTGGCTACAGTCTTCAGGTAATGGTCTTACTGGATAACTGGCTACAGTCTTCAGGTAATGGTATTACTGGATAACTGGCTACAGTCTTCAGGTAATAGAATTATTGGATAACTTGCTACAGTCTTCAGGTAATAGTATTACTGGATAACTGGCTACAGTCTTCAGGTAATGGTATTATTGGATAACTGGCTACAGTCTTCAGGTAATGGTATTACTGGATAACTGGCTACAGTCTTCAGGTAATGGTATTACTGGATAACTGGCTACAGTCTTCAGGTAATGGTATTACTGGATAACTGGCTACAGTCTTCAGGTAATAGTATTATTGGATAACTGGCTACAGTCTTCAGGTAATAGTATTATTGGATAACTGGCTACAGTCTTCAGGTAATGGTATTACTGGATAACTGGCTACAGTCTTCAGGTAATGGTATTACTGGATAACTGGCTACAGTCTTCAGGCAATAGTATTATTGGATAACTGGCTACAGTCTTCAGGTAATGGTATTACTGGATAGTTTGCTACAGTCTTCAGGTAATGGTATTACTGGATAACTGGCTACAGTCTTCAGGTAATGGTATTACTGGATAGTTGGCTACAGTCTTCAGGTAATAGTATTACTGGATAACTGGCTACAGTCTTCAGGTAATGGTATTACTGGATAACTGGCTACAGTCTTCAGGTAATGGTATTACTGGATATTTGGCTACAGTCTTCAGGTAATAGTATCACTGGATAACTGGCTACAGTCTTCAGGTGATGGTATTACTGAATAGTTGGCTACAGTCTTCAGGTAATAGTATTACTGGATAACTGGCTACAGTCTTCAGGTAATGGCATTACTGGATAACTGGCTACAGTCTTCAGGTAATGGTATTACTGGATAACTGGCTACAGTCTTCAGGTAATGGTATTACTGGATAACTGGCTACAGTCTTCAGGTAATGGTATTACTGGATAGTTGGCTACAGTCTTCAGGTAATGGTATTACTGGATAACTGGCTACAGTCTTCAGGTAATGGTATTACTGGATAACTGGCTACAGTCTTCAGGTAATGGTATTACTGGATAACTGGCTACAGTCTTCAGGTAATGGTATTACTGGATAACTGGCTACAGTCTTCAGGTAATGGTATTACTTGATAACTGGCTACAGTCTTCAGGTAATGGTATTACTGGATAACTGGCTAAAGTCTTCAGGTAATGGTATTACTGGATAACTGGCTAAAGTCTTCAGGTAATGGTATTACTGGATAGTTGGCTACAGTCTTCAGGTAATGGTATTACTGGATAACTGGCTACAGTCTTCAGGTAATGGTATTACTGGATAACTGGCTACAATCTTCAGGTAATGGTATTATTGGATAACTGGCTACAGTCTTCAGGTAATGGTATTACTGGATAGTTGGCTACAGTCTTCAGGTAATGGTATTACTGGGTAACTGGCTACAGTCTTCATGTAACAGTATTACTGGATAACTGGCTACAGTCTTCAGGTAATGGTATTACTGGATAGTTGGCCACAGTCTTCAGGTAATAGTATTACTGGATAACCTGCTTTGATAGACTTAGAAGCTGCACCAACCTAACAGAAACTAAACTCAGTTTCTTTCTTTTTCAGGTTTTGTTTGAACAGTTCAAGTTTTTCCTCAACCTGTACTTCTTGATAATGGCATGTGCACAGTTCATCCCAGCCATCAGAATTGGCTACCTCTACACATACTGGGGGCCACTGGTGAGTGGCCATTGGAATCAGTTGACATTACAAGGATGTGCTTTGTTTCAAATGTATACAAAAGCAAGTGAACATTGAGATTGATAGAGCTTGCCCATGATTGACTTAACAGTTGACTGTAATGATTTACAATGTTTGACATAACTGGTTGTCATTGTACCTGATTGGTTTGGATTGTTGCTCATGCTGTCAGCCCTTGGTTTGTGTGGGCAAGGTTAGAGCAGGCAACAGTGATGGCAGTGTACTGTGTTGGACATAGCATTGGTGCAGCTTTTGTGTAACTACATGACATGTTAAGAATACCTACAGTTTATACTGGTTCAAATTGGTTTTCTAACTTTTCCAGGGTTTTGTGATATTTGTAACAATGTGTCGTGAGGCTCTGGATGATTGGCGCCGCTATCGACGAGACAAGGAGGCCAACTCCCAGATCTACAAGAAACTGTGTCGAGATGGTATCGTCCGCATACCCAGCTCTGACATCCGCGTCGGGGATCTCATTATCGTAGAGAAGGTAACTAGATGTGGACAAAGCTGTGAATGACTGGCAGGGTAGAGTCTGCGTCCAGTCTAGATACACTGGTGGTTAATGAATGCCAGGTTTATTTCACAATCAGGATGGAACATTGTCACAAAAATGTGAGGTAATTGTAAATGTTTAATGTTTTAGGTTCTTTAAAAGCTGAAGCAAGCTGACTGAGGTTGTTGTTTGTTATTCTCAATTCATTCAAATGATACACTTAACTATGAGGGATAGGAAACTTGGGATTGTTTTCTTCTTGCATCTAACAGTGCATGTATCTGGGGTTAGCAGTTACTGCCAGACAGAAGTGCATGAGGACACAGACGAACCCGTAAAGTCCTTGAAGGATGTAGTCAGTTCAGTATTGTGGTGATGAGACATCCTTGCAAGGGAGGGAACTCCTGTGGACAATTCTGTTGTATAAGGAAATCTGATGTAGTGATATATAGAGAATCTCACCAGAGTGTCTTTTTATATCAAATATATCAACACGAGTTGATAAAAGTGGGAAAACTCCGAGGCTTGCGAGGATTTTTTTCCACTTTTATCAACGAGTGTTGATATATTTGATATCAAAAGACACGAGGGTGAGATTTTATTTATCATCCAACATCATTCTTCCAACTTTTTCAGTTTGTAGACAGACAGTAATAAGCAGTGTCTTAGGTGTAAAAAGTACTGCTAACAGCTTCAGTAGCAGAGCCATTAGTGATGTCATTTGATTGTGACGTCATGGTAACCAATGACGTCACAATGGTCTGCAAAGCATTGTGATGCAATTTCATTGCAGCGATATCTACAGCGTAGATATCGCTTGATCTCACCCAAGCGATATCTCCTGTGGGAGCCTGTTTTGGATGATAAATGAGCTGTAACAACCAACGATCACTCACAAACAATGGTCATTATGGAACAAAATCTGTCCCTTCAATTTTCACAGATATGAGATTGAGTATAGAAAAATTCATCTTAATAATTGTTAGCAATTGTTTCCTGTCATGAATGAGTCCTCGAGTTTGAGTTTCAAGACCGTGATTTTGGGGCAGTTTGTCAAAACCACTGCACACTTGCCATATTTGTGAACAGGACCAGCGTGTGCCGGCAGACTTGGTGTTTCTGCGGACTACGGAGAAGGATGGAGCGTGTTTCACCAGGACGGACCAGCTGGACGGGGAGACTGACTGGAAGTTGCGGCTTGCTGTACAGACCACACAGAGGCTGCCATCAAACGTGGTAGGTACAGAGGCTGCCATCAAACATGGTAGGTACAGAGGCTGCCATCAAACATGGTAGGTACAGAGGCTGCCATCAAACGTAAGTACAGAGGCTGCCATCAAACGTAAGTACAGAGGCTGCCATCAAACATGGTAGGTACAGAGGCTTCCATCAAACATGGTAGGTACAGAGGCTGCCATCAAACGTAGGTACAGAGGCTGCCATCAAACGTAAGTACAGAGGCTGCCATCAAACATGGTAGGTACAGAGGCTGCCATCAAACATGGTAGGTACAGAGGCTGACATCAAACGTAGGTACAGAGGCTGCCATCAAATGTAAGTACAGAGGCTGCCATCAAACATGGTAGGTAAAGAGGCTGCCATCAAACATGGTAGGTACAGAGACTGCCATCAAACGTGGTACTACAGAGGCTGCCATTAAACATATTTGCAGAGCCTGAGGTCAAATGTTTGGAAGATAGGGTGCCATAAAACATATTTACGGAGGCTGCCATCAAACATATTTGCAGAGGCTGCCATCAAACATATTTACAGAGGCTGCCATCAAACATTGTCGGTACAGGGCCTGGTAGGGTGACTTGAGGTAAGAGTTTCAGGGTGTTTGTTAAGTTTATGTTGATGTGAGGGAAAAGATAGAACCTGAATAACAGAGCATTGGTTACATGTGTCTGTGTGGCCAAGGTTAAAAAGGGCTCCTAGAACTCTATTGCTGGTCAAAAAATTGATGGCATTGAATGTTGCTCATAATATCAACCCCTGTTTTGTCTTTCCCAGACTTAATTATTTGGAGGCAGCTGTGATAATGGCTGAATATTGGTGCCTGCAGTCAGAATAGGGGTGTATAGATGTTTATAATTGACTGATCTTGTACATCCCGAGGGGTAAGCTTGATCACTAATCATATACAGCCCACATTAATTACAACTTGATGACTATACAGAATCCAGTAGGATTTACGTGTGACCATCTGGATGATGAACACTGTATCTTCCCATGTTTACCTCCTCTCATCACTCTCATGACAGCACGGAGGTTTTCTGTTCCAGGACATACTAGACATCTGTGCCCAGGTCCATGCAGAGAAACCACAGAAACAGATTCACAATTTTGTGGGAACATTTACAAGAGTGAGTTAATTTCTACTGGTTTGATTTCCTACCAAAGAAATTAGATTTGATGATATGGTATTTAATGAAGTGTGAAATAAAGTGTGTCATGCCAATGCAAGGTATAGGTACAACTGCCATTGCTTTAATACCAATACATGAACTAAAAGAGATATCACTCAAGCATATATTCTTTTTTTATCCCCTGGTATTTGCAAAATACTATTTGGCATATACATGTAGAGCATTTGTGTCCTCAGACTGACGGGACGGCCTGTGAGGACCCGCTGGGCCTGGAGAATACATTGTGGGCAGACACAGTGGTGGCGTCAGGAACAGCACTCGGAGTGGTAATATACACTGGGGCAGAGACCAGGAGTGTCATGAACACCTCACAGCCAAGCAGCAAGGTGAGACTCAAATTTATAAACCTATTCATTGGGATCGCTATTAAGTAAGAGAATTCTTTCTATAGGCATTAAAACCTATTGTGAGGTTTTACTTTCCAGTCGGGTTAAATCTCATAAACAGGGACGTTGTAATGTCCCTGGGATTTTATATAATATAACTTCCGTTCAGATTGTAACATGTAATGAAATGTAAAATCAAATGACAAATGTTTTCTTTATATTCCCGAGGATCCAACTCGCAACCTTCATATCTGTAGCCCAGTTAGTGTACCATGAGGCTACAGAGGTGTTGATAAGCCTCACTGGTTTTTAGAATGTCCTTTTCAAGATCCGTATGCCTGCAACAGATATTTTACCATCTGTACCCTGTGTGTACCCCATCTGTACCCTGTGTGTACCTCACCTGTACCTTGTGTGTACCCCACCCGTACCCTGTGTGTACCCCACCCGTACCCTGTGTGTACCCACCTGTACCTTGTCTTTAACCCACCTGTACCGTCTGTAACCCACTTGTACCCTGTCTTTAACTCACCTGTACCCTGTCTTTAACCCACCTGTACCTTGTCTTTAACTCACCTGTACCTTGTATTTAACCCACCTGTACCGTCTGTAACCCACTTGTACCCTGTCTTTAACTCACCTGTAACCTGTCTGTAACCAACTTGTACCCTGTCTTTAACCCACCTGTACCCTGTCTTTAACCCACCTGTACCCTGTCTTTAACCCACCTGTACCCTGTCTGTAACCCACTTGTACCCTGTCTTTAACCCACCTGTAACCTGTCTGTAACCCACTTGTACCCTGTCTTTAACTCACCTGTAACCTGTCTGTAACCAACTTGTACCCTGTCTTTAACCCACCTGTACCCTGTCTTTAACCCACCTGTACCCTGTCTTTAACCCACTTGTACCCTGTCTTTAACCCACCTGTAACCTGTCTGTAACCCACTTGTACCCTGTCTTTAACCCACCTGTACCCTGTCTTTAACCCACCTGTACCCTGTCTGTAACCCACCTGTACCCTGTCTTTAACTCACCTGTACCCTGTCTTTAACTCACCTGTACCCTGCATGTAACCCACCTGTACCCTGTCTGTAACCCACTTGTACCCTGTCTTTAACTCACCTGTACCCTGTCTTTAACCCACCTGTACCTTGTCTTTAACTCACCTGTACCTTGTATTTAACCCACCTGTACCGTCTGTAACCCACTTGTACCCTGTCTTTAACTCACCTGTAACCTGTCTGTAACCAACTTGTACCCTGTCTTTAACCCACCTGTACCCTGTCTTTAACCCACCTGTACCCTGTCTTTAACCCACTTGTACCCTGTCTTTAACCCACCTGTAACCTGTCTGTAACCCACTTGTACCCTGTCTTTAACCCACCTGTACCCTGTCTTTAACCCACCTGTACCCTGTCTGTAACCCACCTGTACCCTGTCTTTAACTCACCTGTACCCTGTCTTTAACTCACCTGTACCCTGCATGTAACCCACCTGTACCCTGTCTGTAACCCACCTGTACCCTGTCTGTAACCCACCTGTACCCTGTCTTTAACTCACCTGTACCCTGTCTTTAACTCACCTGTACCCTGCATGTAACCCACCTGTACCCTGTCTGTAACCCACCTGTACCCTGTCTTTAACCCACCTGTACCCTGTCTTTAAACCACCTGTACCCTGTCTGTAACCCACCTGTACCCTGTCTTTAACTCACCTGTACCCTGTCTTTAACTCAACTGTACCCTGTTTGTCACCAGGTAGGGCTGTTGGACTTGGAAATCAACACCCTGACCAAGATGCTGTTTTTTGCTGTCATCATCCTGTCTATAGTCATGATGATACTGAAGGTAATATACAGTGATTGATATAATCATTGCACATAGAGTGGAACTACATGTATGTGCCAATTGTATTCATTTCAATATTTGTCGTAAAATAGTAGGGTAATTAGAGAAGAACATTTATTATTCTGGTCTAGAACACATGTGTCAGTTTCAGAATTTCAGTTTGTTGTTGTGTTGATTGATGCTAGACATCACTGTGACATTGTGATAATGTGTTGTCTCCATGTTGCAGGGATTTGGAGGTCCATGGTATCGCTACCTGTTTCGGTTTATCTGCCTATTCTCCTACATCATCCCAATCAGGTAAATACATCAGTCAGTTACAGACAACAGTCAGGTAAATACATCAGTCAGTTACAGACAAGTCGGGCAAATACATCAGTCAGTTACAGACAACAGTCAGGCAAATACATCAGTCAGTTACAGACAACAGTCAGGCAAATACATCAGTCAGTTACAGACAACAGTCAGGCAAATACATCAGTCAGTTACAGACAACAGTCAGGCAAATACATCAGTCAGTTACAGACAACAGTCAGGCAAATACATCAGTCAGTTACAGACAACAGTCAGGCAAATACATCAGTCAGTTACAGACAACAGTCAGGCAAATACATCAGTCAGTTACAGACAACAGTCAGGCAAATACATCTATACTGACACAACTCAAGATAATGTATCAGTTATTTGCATTCAAAGCTCAGGGTTATTCATCAGACAGTTACAGTCACAAGTGGGGTAAACACAACAGTTAAAAAAAGACACCAGTTACTCCACCTGTTGTGTGTAAGGTTGACTGTAATGGCTGCTCCCTGTCTCCCTCAGTCTGAGAGTGAACCTGGACATGGGTAAGGCGGTATACTCATGGATGATCCAGAGAGACAAGGCCATCCCTGGCACTGTGGTGCGCAGCTCGACTATTCCAGAGGAGCTGGGGAGGATCACATACCTGCTGTCTGATAAGACTGGAACACTCACACAGAATGAAATGGTAGGACCATAGGGTACAGCGTTACTGTCACTTCAACCCATATCATCAAATCCAAAGCTGTAATGTAGGTATTTGGGTGTGTTGATGATAGGGGAAGGAGTGGGGATTAGATGGAGGATGCTTGGGTAAGGATTGGTGTAGATGGTAGGGTAAGGGTGTAGATGGTTGGGGTGGGGTGTAGATGGTAGGGGTGGGGTGTAGATGGATGGGTGGGGTGTAGATGGTAGGTGTGGGGTGTAGATGGTTGGGGTGGGGTGGGGTGTAGATGGTAGGGTAAGTATTGGTGTAGATGGTAGGGTAGGGGTGTAGATGGTAGGGTAGGGGTGAAGATGGTAGGGTAGGGGTTAGATGGTTGGGGTGGGGTGTAGATGGTAGGGTAGGGGTGTAGATGGTTGGGGTGGGGTGTAGATGGTAGGGTAGGGGTGTAGATGGTAGGTGTGGGGTGTAGATGGTTGGGGTGGGGTGTGGTGTAGATGGTAGGGTAAGTATTGGTGTAGATGGTAGGGTAGGGGTGTAGATGGTTGGGGTGGGGTGTAGATGGTAGGGTAGGGGTGTAGATGGTTGGTTAGGAGTGTAGATGGTTGGTTAGGGGTGTAGATGGTTGGGTAGGGGTGGGGTGTAGATGGTTGGGTTGGGGTGGGGTGTAGATGGTTGGTCAGGGGCGGGATGTAGATGGCTGTGATGGGTGGTGTGTAGATTGTTGGGTTGGGATGGGATGTAGATGGTTGGGTTGGGGTGGGGTGTAGATGGTTGGTCAGGGGTGGGATGTTGATGGTTGTGTTTGGGTGGTGTGTAGATGGTTGTGTTGGGTGGTGTGTAGATTGTTGGGTTAGGATGGGATGTAGATGGTTGGGTTGGGGTGGGGTGTAGATGGTTGTGATGGGTGGTGTGTAGATTGTTGGGTTGGGATGGGATGTAGATGGTTGGGTTGGGGTGGGGTGTAGATGGTTGGTCAGGGGTGGGATGTTGATGGTTGTGATGTGTGGTGTGTAGATTGTTGGGTTGGGATGGGATGTAGATGGTTGGGTTGGGGTGGGGTGTAGATGGTTGTGATGGGTGGTGTGTAGATTGTTGGGTTGGGATGGGATGTAGATGGTTGGGGTGGGGTGGGGTGTAGATGGTTGGTCAGGGGTGGGATGTAGATTGTTGGGTTGGGATGGGATGTAGATGGTTGGGTTGGGGTGGGGTGTAGATGGTTGTGATGGGTGGTGTGTAGATTGTTGGGTTGGGATGGGATGTAGATGGTTGGGTTGGGGTGGGGTGTAGATGGTTGGTCAGGGGTGGGATGTTGATGGTTGTGATGGGTGGTGTGTAGATTGTTTGGTTGGGATGGGATTTAGATGGTTAGGTTGGGGTGGGGTGTAGATGGTTGTGATGGGTGGTGTGTAGATTGTTGGGTTGGGATGTAGATGTAGATGGTTGGTCAGGGGTGGGATGTAGATGGTTGTGATGGGTGGTATGTAGATTGTTGGGTTGGGATGGGATGTAGATGGTTGGGGTGGGGTGGGGTGTAGATGGTTGGTCAGGGGTGGGATGTAGATTGTTGGGTTGGGATGGGATGTAGATGGTTGGGGTGGGGTGGGGTGTAGATGGTTGTGATGGGTGGTGTGTAGATTGTTGGGTTGGGATGGGATGTAGATGGTTGGGTTGTGGTGAAGATGGTTGTGATTGGTGGTGTGTAGATGGTTGGGGTGGGGTGGGGTGTAGATGGTTGTGATGGGTGGTGTGTAGATTGTTGGGTTGGGATGGGATGTAGATGGTTGGGTTGGGGTGGGGTGTAGATGGTTGGTTAGGGGTGGGGTGTAGATGATAAGGGTGGTGTGTAGATGGTTGGTTCGGGGTAGGGTGTAGATGGTAGGGTAAGGGTGGGGTGTAGATGGTAGGGGTGGTGTGTAGATTGTTGGGTTGGGGTGGGGTGTAGATGGTTGGGTTGGCTGGGGTGTAGATGGTTGGGTTGGACGGGGTGTAGAGGGTAAGGGTGGTGTGTTGATGGTTGGGTAGGGGTGGGTAGTAGATGGTCGGGATGGGGTGTAGATGGTAGGTAAGGAATGGGATGTAGATGGTAGGGAATTTGTGAGATGTTGATGGCAGAGGGTGGTGAAAAGATGTCACTAATTCAAGACTAAACACCCTGACATCACCATAACTGTCATTGATTCCAGATTTTCAAGAGGCTGCACCTGGGCACTGTGTCATTCAATGCTGAGACGATGGACGAGGTGAGACAGTGCTGTATAGTTATAAACTTGAAGGATACACAAGTTTCACACATTCCTTATGTTGTTATGCAGTAACGTTTCATTAGCCTGTATCCTGTTAATTCTTAACCTTCTGTTAAATCTTCTGTTTAATGAGCTTGCTTGAAGTTGAAGACCTCCCCTGCTGCCACAATTGGTTTTCTATGAGTAAGGTCAAGGTCACTTGAAAGTATTAAACATGGTTGAAATTTCATCATTTCATTTTCCAAGTTTCTTATTAGTTCATGAAAAATGTAAACAATTACCACTCACTTGAATTTCAATAATTAACTCAATACCTGTCATGTCATGGCTGTGTCAAATGTCAAGGTAACTTTGAAGGTCATTCACTCATGAACTGACTTGCTTAAGTCAGAAAGCATTAAGGATAAGGAAACTTCATATTTGTGTCTTCCAAGTTTGCCAAACATAATATTCTTGCATGTGATTTGATGAGCTTGAAGGTACAAGAAAACTTGAGTATTAATGATCAGAATTTAAAGAACCTTAACCAGATCTCTTTCGGTGACATCTTGATCACATCATCTTTTAGGTGACCTCCATTATAAGGTGAAGGTAAGATTATGAAATATGATTCTAATTTCATGAAATTACAGATTAATTGAGGGATTTCCAATCAGTTAAGATGAACTCAACTCCTATCATATGTCATGAATGTGTAAAATGTCAAGGTCGCTTTGAAAGTCAATCATTCAGTTAGTAATGTTCACAATTCATGGCTGAGATTGATGGTCAAGGTCAGTAAACTGGAAGTGTCTTCAACTCTTCTACTGAGGTGGCTAGAGGCGTAGATCTTTTTATTAAGCTGAAAGTGCTTATGACTGGAGGTTTAGTCCTTTCTGTTTCAGTGCTGTACTGCATTGGACATGTGATGTGATGTTATTAAACTGGAAGTTCTCACTTAACTTTGTCAATAAAGTAGCTGGAGGCCTAAGTTTTTCCAAACTTATACTGCAATCTACATGTGGGAAGTCAACTGTCGCCTGATGTAAAGTCAGAATGGTTTATGACACCTGTTTCTGGCGGGTAAGTTTGGGGACATTCAGCAAACTGTGGGCAGGTGCCTGCTTCAGTTTTTACATGTCGGGCAAACACCTCCCTAGCTACTGTTGGGGCCGTAAACATATGGTAAGGGACCTACCATTTGATATTCGGGAGGGGAGAGGGAGAGGGGTGCTGGTAAACCCCGCTTAACCAGTTATTTTTTTTATAATACAATGAACCAACATATTGTTTTCTTAAGAACACATTGCAACAATGTCATTTTTGTGGCAGACAATATGAAACATGAAACATTAATTTTATCTGATAAAATCCCAGCACCTTCATCCTCCAGCTGGGAACAGTACCTAGAGACTTCAGAATACATCATATCACATTGGCCTATGCAAGGAGCATGAATAATTGAGGTTTTGTGGCATCCATATTTTATAGGTATCCATGTTATCTCCCCTTGCAGGTAATGGCTCATTTGAGGACTGCTTTCTCCCAGCCGCCATCTGGGCAGCTTATCCAGGCAACACCTACTCGTACATCAGGTCCAGTTCGTAGGACAGTGGTTACTCGGGTGTTCGAGGCAGTGAAAGCTGTGGCACTCTGTCACAACGTGACTCCGGTGTATGAGGAGAACGGTGACGCAGCCAGCGACACAGAGGCCGACCAGCAGATCCGCCAGACTGTCACGTACCAAGCCTCCAGTCCCGATGAGGTGAGACTACCATAGGGGATGATGGCCTAATCAGGTACCTTTGGGGGCAGGCTGACCTCCTGGTCATCTAAGACAAAGCAGTTCACTGTTGAGGGTCGTGCCAGGGTGCTGCTGATCCGGTCAATTTCCAGATTTGTGTTGATGTTACTGCTTGGTTTGACAGTACCACATATTTGACTGTGGGTTAACAAAAGTAGTAACTGTCTACAGCCTGCTTCACTATGGACTTTCCTCCCACATCAAGCTGACAATAGAGTTGAAACAATGTGCAGTAAAGCACAACTCACCCACTCATTCAGCATTCTTATGTCATCATAAGTAGCTTCAACTTTCTGTAACATTGTAAATAAACTGATGGCAACTTAGATTCACAAGGGTCCTTTAGAACTGACCATATAGAATATGAAATATACTCACACGTGCAATTCCATATTTATAAACAGTGTGCAGGTCCATGTTTGTATAGGGTGTGTTTGACACATGTGGAGGTCCATGTTTGTATAGAGTGTGTTTGACATGTGTGCAGGTCCATGTTTGTATAGACTGTGTTTGACACATGTTGAGGTCCATGTTTGTGTACAGTGTGTTTGACACGTGTGCAGGTCCATGTTAGTATAGAGTGTGTTTGACACATGTTGAGGTCCATGTTTGTGTACAGTGTGTTTGACACGTGTGCAGGTCCATGTTTGTATACAGTGTGTTTGACACATGTGGAGGTCCATGTTTGTATAGAGTGTGTTTGACACGTGTGCAGGTCCATGTTAGTATAGAGTGTGTTTGACACATGTGGAGGTCCTTGTTAGTATAGAGTGTGTTTGACCCATGTGGAGGTCCATGTTAGTATAGAGTGTGTTTGACCCATGTGGAGGTCCATGTTTGTATAGAGTGTGTTTGACACATGTGCAGGTCCATGTTTGTATAGAGTGTGTTTGACACATGTGGAGGTCCATGTTAGTATAGAGTGTGTTTGACACATGTGGAGGTCCATGTTAGTATAGAGTGTGTTTGACACATGTGGAGGTCCATGTTTGTATAGAGTGTGTTTGACACGTGTGCAGGCCCATGTTTGTATAGAGTGTGTTTGACACATGTGGAGGTCCATGTTTGTATAGAGTGTGTTTTACACATGTGGAGGTCCATGTTAATATAGAGTGTGTTTGACACATGTGGAGGTCCATGTTTGTATAGAGTGTGTTTGACACATGTGGAGGTCCATGTATGTATACAGTGTGTTTGACACGTGTGCAGGTCCATGTTAGTATAGAGTGTGTTTGACACATGTGGAGGTCCATGTTTGTATAGAGTGTGTTTGACACATGTGGAGGTCCATGTTAGTATAGAGTGTGTTTGACACATGTGGAGGTCCATGTTTGTAAAGAGTGTGTTTGACACGTGTGCAGGTCCATGTTTGTATGGAGTGTGTTTGACACATGTGGAGGTCCATGTTTGTATAGAGTGTGTTTGACACATGTGCAGGTCCATGTTTGTATACAGTGTGTTTGACACATTTGCAGGTCCATGTTTGTAGAGAGTGTGTTTGACACATTTGCAGGTCCATGTTAGTAAAGAGTGTGTTTGACACATGTGGAGGTCCATGTTTGTATAGGGTGTGTTTTACACATGTGGAGGTCCATGTTTGTATAGAGTGTGTTTGACACGTGTGCAGGTCCATGTTTGTATAGAGTGTGTTTGACACATGTGGAGGTCCATGTTTGTATAGAGTGTGTTTGACACATGTGGAGGTCCATGTTTGTATAGAGTGTGTTTGACACATGTGGAGGTCCATGTTAGTATAGAGTGTGTTTGACACATGTGGAGGTCCATGTTTGTATAGAGTGTGTTTGACACATGTGCAGGTGGCATTGGTGTCGTGGACGGAGAGCGTGAAGCTGACGCTGGTGAAGCGGGACCTGAGCACCATGCAACTCCGCACGCCCCAGGATTCCATCATCACATACTCCATCCTACAGATCTTCCCCTTTACCTCCGAGACCAAGAGGATGGGCATCATTGTCAGGGTGGGCGATCCCATACATCAAACTATCTAATTATATATGCTAACAAGAAACTATACTTCAATTACAGGAAATGAATCCTCAAATTTCATATTTATGATTCTGTGTGGAGATGTTTTGTGTATATTGGTATTTAAGAAATGAATCAAATGAATTGAGGAGCACACCATGTATATCCACTTGATTTGGATGCTTTTGTTAAAAGGTTGATTACACAAGTATTGAAGTACACCACATGACATTATTTTGACACCAATTAGGAGAGAGTGTGATCTGTTGTAAACTCAGAATTGGTTCCCTTTTTGTTTGAAAGCTAGCACTGTATCTTTGATGATTTGACTGTTTGCCTGTGATTCATGCTGCTTCTGTCATATTGGGGATAGATTGACTTGAAATATGTTGTAAAAGAGCTCCCGCCAATGATGGAGTTATGGTTGTTATACAGGTGCTGTGCACTCACAATTCACTGTTTCAGGAAGAGCAGTCAGGGGAGATAATCTTCTACCTGAAGGGTGCTGATGTTGTGATGCAGAACATCGTCCAGTACAATGACTGGCTGGAAGAGGAGGTAGGCCCCCCATGCACACGCCAATGTCTCGTCACATACCCCCGTTATAGCACATTATCCACTATGTCTCTAAACATCACAAAGCATGTTCTAGTAACAAATTAAAGTTAGCCTCTTTAGAAACCGTGTTTTGTTTGTGTTCTATGGATACCCAACTTCTTTACAACAATGAATGCCATGTTTCAGTTTAGATACTGACACAATTGATGCAAGCAAGTGATGAGATAATCAAATCACTTGCTTAACAACATTGTAAGGGTCTACACCAAAACCTCGCATTCATTTTAATAAAGCAGTTCTATGAATAAAGCAGTTCTATATTCATAGAACTATCTCCCTTGTTCATCATACCAACTTCTACATGCCACTGACAGAAGATGGATGGAACCTGAGTCAGCTGCCACTGACAGAAGATAGATGGAACCTGAGTCAGCTGCCACTGACAGAAGATAGATGGAACCTGAGTCAGCTGCCACTGACAGAAGATGGATGGAACCTGAGTCAGGTGCCACTGACAGAAGATAGATGGAACCTGAGTCAGCTGCCACTGACAGAAGATAGATGGAACCTGAGTCAGCTGCCACTGACAGAAGATAGATGGAACCTGAGTCAGCTGCCACTGACAGAAGATGGATGGAACCTGAGTCAGCTGCCACTGACAGAAGATAGATGGAACCTGAGTCAGCTGCCACTGACAGAAGATAGATGGAACCTGAGTCAGCTGCCACTGACAGAAGATGGATGGAACCTGAGTCAGCTGCCACTGACAGAAGATAGATGGAACCTGAGTCAGCTGCCACTGACAGAAGATAGATGGAACCTGAGTCAGCTGCCAGTGACAGAAGATGGATGGAACCTGAGTCAGCTGCCACTGACAGAAGATAGATGGAACCTGAGTCAGCTGACATTGACAGGAGTCGGCACGAGTACAGCAATTGGCTGCACAGAGCTACTTTGCTTGGACATGCGAGAACGAAAAATGTAGGCTGACACTGACAGGCTGTAGGATTTATGCCGACACTGACAGGCTGTAGGATATAGGCCGACACTGACAGGCTGTAGGATATAGGCCGACACTGACAGGCTGTAGGATTTAAGCCGACACTGACAGGCTGTAGGATATAGGCCGACTGTGACAAGGTGTAGGATATAGGCCGACACTGACAGGCTGTAGGATATAGGCCGACACTGACAGGCTGTAGGATATAGGCCGACACTGACAGGGTGTAGGATATAGGCTGACACTGACAGGCTGTAGGATATAGGCCGTCACCGGCAGGCTGTAGGATATATGCTGACACTGACAGGGTGTAGGATATAGGCTGACACTGACAGGTTGTAGGATATAGGCCGACACTGACAGGGTGTAGGATATAGGCTGACACTGACAGGCTGTAGGATATAGGCCGACACTGACAGGGTGTAGGATATAGGCTGACACTGACAGGCTGTAGGATATAGGCCGTCACCGGCAGGCTGTAGGATATATGCTGACACTGACAGGCTGTAGGATATAGGCTGACACTGACAGGCTGTAGGATATAGGCCGACACTGACAGGGTGTAGGATATAGGCTGACACTGACAGGGTGTAGGATATAGGCCGACACTGACAGGCTGTAGGATATAGGCCGACACTGACAGGGTGTAGGATATAGGCTGACACTGACAGGCTGTAGGATATTGGCTGACACTGACAGGCTGTAGGATATTGGCTGACACTGACAGGCTGTAGGCTATCACCGACACTGACAGTCTGTAGGATATAGGCTGACACTGACAGGCTGTAGGATATAGGCCGACACTGACAGGCTGTAGGATATCACTGACAGGCTGTAGGATATTGGCTGACAATCTGTAGGATATAGGCTGACAGTCTGTAGGATATAGGCCGACACTGACAGGCTGTAGGATATAGGCCGACACTGACAGGCTGTAGGATATAGGCCAACACTGACAGGGTGTAGGATATAGGCCAACACTGACAGGGTGTAGGATATAGGCCGACTGTGACAGGGTGTAGGATATAGGCCGACACTGACAGGGTGTAGGATATAGGCCGACACTGACAGGGTGTAGGATATAGGCCGACTGTGACAGGGTGTAGGATATAGGCTAACACTGACAGGCTGTAGGATATAGGCTGACAATGACAGGCTGTAGGATATAGGCTGACACTGACAGGCTGTAGGATATAGGCTGACACTGACAGGCTGTAGGATATAGGCCGACACTGACAGGCTGTAGGATATCACTGACAGGCTGTAGGATATTGGCTGACAATCTGTAGGATATAGGCTGACAGTCTGTAGGATATAGGCCGACACTGACAGGCTGTAGGATATAGGCCGACACTGACAGGCTGTAGGATATAGGCCAACACTGACAGGGTGTAGGATATAGGCCGACACTGACAGGGTGTAGGATATAGGCCGACTGTGACAAGGTGTAGGATATAGGCCGACACTGACAAGGTGTAGGATATAGGCCGACACTGACAGGGTGTAGGATATAGGCCGACTGTGACAGGGTGTAGGATATAGGCTAACACTGACAGGCTGTTGGATATAGGCTGACAATGACAGGCTGTAGGATATAGGCTGACACTGACAGGCTGTAGGATATAGGCCGACTGTGACAGGCTGTAGGATATAGGCAAACACTGACAGGGTGTAGGATATAGGCCGACTGTGACAGGGTGTAGGATATAGGCTGACACTGACAGGCTGTAGGATATAGGCTGACAATGACAGGCTGTAGGATATAGGCCGACACTGACAGGGTGTAGGATATAGGCCGACACTGACAGGCTGTAGGATATAGGCTGACACTGATAAGCTGTAGGATATAGGCTGACACTGACAAGCTGTAGGATATAGGCTGACACCGATAGGCTGTAGGATACAGGCTGACACTGACAGGCTGTAGGCTATCACTAACACTGACAGGCTGTAGGATATCACTGTCACTGACAGGCTGTAGTCTATCACTGTCACTGATAGGCTATAGGATATCACTGTCACTGACAGGCTGTAGTCTATCACTGTCACTGATAGGCTGTAGGATATCACTGTCACTGATAGGCTGTAGGCTATCACTGACACTGACAGGCTGTAGGATATAGGCTGACTTTGACAGGCTGTAGGATATCACTGTCACTGACAGGCTGTATTCTATCACTGTCACTGACAGGCTGTAGGATATCACTGTCACTGATAGGCTGTAGGCTATCACTGACACTGACATGCTGTAGCTTATCGGCTGACACTGACAGGCTGTAGGATATAGGCCGACACTGACAGGGTGTAGGATATAGGCCGACTGTGACAGGGTGTAGGATATAGGCCGACACTGACAAGGTGTAGGATATAGGCCGACACTGACAGGGTGTAGGATATAGGCCGACTGTGACAGGGTGTAGGATATAGGCTAACACTGACAGGCTGTTGGATATAGGCTGACAATGACAGGCTGTAGGATATAGGCTGACACTGACAGGCTGTAGGATATAGGCCGACTGTGACAGGCTGTAGGATATAGGCAAACACTGACAGGGTGTAGGATATAGGCCGACTGTGACAGGGTGTAGGATATAGGCTGACACTGACAGGCTGTAGGATATAGGCTGACAATGACAGGCTGTAGGATATAGGCCGACACTGACAGGGTGTAGGATATAGGCTGACACTGATAAGCTGTAGGATATAGGCTGACACTGACAAGCTGTAGGATATAGGCTGACACCGATAGGCTGTAGGATACAGGCCGACACTGACAGGCTGTAGGCTATCACTAACACTGACAGGCTGTAGGATATCACTGTCACTGACAGGCTGTAGTCTATCACTGTCACTGATAGGCTGTAGGATATCACTGTCACTGACAGGCTGTAGTCTATCACTGTCACTGATAGGCTGTAGGATATCACTGTCACTGATAGGCTGTAGGCTATCACTGACACTGACAGGCTGTAGGATATAGGCTGACTTTGACAGGCTGTAGGATATCACTGTCACTGACAGGCTGTATTCTATCACTGTCACTGACAGGCTGTAGGATATCACTGTCACTGATAGGCTGTAGGCTATCACTGACACTGACATGCTGTAGCTTATCGGCTGACACTGACAGGCTGTAGGATATAGGCCGACACTGACAGGGTGTAGGATATAGGCCGACACTGACAGGGTGTAGGATATAGGCCGTCACCGGCAGGCTGTAGGATATATGCTGACACTGACAGGCTGTAGGATATAGGCTGTAGGATATATGCTGACACTGACAGGCTGTAGGATATAGGCTGACACTGACAGGCTGTAGGATATCACTGTCACTGACAGGCTGTAGGATATCACTGTCACTGATAGGCTGTAGGATATCACTGTCACTGACAGGCTGTAGGATATCACTGTCACTGATAGGCTGTAGGATATCACTGTCACTGATAAGCTGTAGGCTATCACTGACACTGACAGTCTGTAGGCTATCACTGACACTGACATGCTGTTAGATATACCATGTAGTTCTTGAGTGTATTTGTTTCAGTGTGGGAACATGGCAAGGGAGGGACTGAGGACTCTGGTGGTGGCCAAGAAGGTCCTCACTGAGGAACAGTACCAGGACTTTGAGGTGATCTCTCCTGACAAGGATGTTTACATTGTAGCCATGTTGAAATGGAGATTAAGAAATTCATTTTATTTAATAAGTTATAAATCTCACTGAAAAAAATCAACTTTTCTTTAAGGCTTTCTTCACTACTTGTCTGACTGTTATCTTCTTGGTACAATGAATGTCAATCAAAGCATGTTCTTTCCCTTTACAAGAATGTATGTCTGGAGGACACAGTGGTCTCCTGACTTGGGACTAGTAGAGTACTTGCAGTACAGTGCCCCTGTTGGGCTTGAGTTTATGTTGTATGTCTGGGGGACACAGTGGTCTCCTGACTGGGCACAAGTAGAGTACCTGCAGTACAGTGCCCCTGTTGGGCTTGAGTTTATGTTGTATGTCTGGGGGACACAGTGGTCTCCTGACTGGGCACAAGTAGAGTACCTGCAGTACAGTGCCCCTGTTGGGCTTGAGTTTATGTTGTATGTCTGGGGGACACAGTGGTCTCCTGACTGGGCACAAGTAGAGTACCTGCAGTACAGTGCCCCTGTTGGGCTTGAGTTTATGTTGTATGTCTGGGGGACAGTCAGTACAGATAATCTGTTATTCCTTGCTGCTCCTTGTTACTCACTGGACAGGCAGCTGTATACTTCCAGTAGATGACGGTCTCCACTGTTTACTTGTATCTAAGTTACAGTTATTACACAACTCCAAGGTTTGGGTTGAAAATGTCAAACTATGAGCGAGGGAAAAGCCCGAGTTTTAACTATGGCTAAAAAAAAAAGTCTTGGTTCTCAGGCATCAGCATCATCACAAAGTACGCTGCATGTTTCATTTTTATTTCTGTTTTCCCCCAAAAAATTAAAATCGTTAGATATTCCGTTTCTCGAGCATATGATCTAGACAGTGAAATGCTACAATTCTTAAAATTAACTCAATCCAATATAGTGTGCAGTTACTTCCCTTGACATGGGCACTGCCAAGCTCCTTCCCAGCGCATGACACCTTCATTACATTCTGGGTAGTATAGAGACCTCTGCGAACAGGATATCGCTGTGAGGAGCTTGGCACACTGCTTTCTGTGTTATGGTCATGGCGGCAATAGGAGTCTATGTGCTTGTTTTGTCGTTGTTTGGCCAATATCATAACTGAAAAGAAATTTCAGCACAGTGATAGGAAGACCCATGACTGTATCTCTAATGTTTCAAGGCACGTTCATGGTAAGTTGATGTGATTTGCCAATCAGTTCATACATGATTTTGACGAAATTAATGTAAACAAAATTGAATGCAATCTTATATAAAAGTAATATAATGGATTACCAACGTAAGTCCATAACACTTTTATAGCCAGATAGAGTATTATGTACACACTGGTAGTCCAGTGGTAGTCATATACTATATTCCAATAATTTACTCATCAAAGAATACATTTATGTAGGGAGGCCCTTTCCTGGTTGATTGTACACAACTGTTTGTTTGGTTACATACTAGTTTGAACAATCAAAAAAAATAACATGGACTTTCTAAATGAATGAAATACTAGAAAGCATAAAAAACCCATTAGGATACCTTCAGTGAAAAAATGTTGTAGTCGTGTTATAGAACGAATTCAGTGACAGTTGGTGAAAGAAAGAGCATGTGCACCAAGCACACAACTGAAGTCATGACATGTAAGATTGAACACCCTTTCATCACATGACCTGGTGATTCAGTAGGAAAACAGTGGGTTTGCAGGTTTGTAGGTTTGTAGGTTTGTTTAATATTTTTGAATATTCCTGTAAAAGAAAATTGTGACCAGTCAAAAATCAACATTAGATGCATATTAAAAAGCTGTTTATACGGTTCAACTGTAAAATATAGGTCTTACAATTTGATTGTAATAGCTCAAAGCAGATCTTACAATTCAAATGTAACACCTCTCACTTGAAAGTAGTACTTCTCACAAGGTTACCATGAGATAGGAAGTAGCTACACTACAATAGTCCGAAGTGGCTGTAGGTTTACACTAATAGGATGCAAGGAACGTGTTGTTACTGAGGTGGCCGAGTTGCACGGCATGTGCTGCACTCTTCACTGTACCTGCCCACAGAGTCGCATCCACCAGGCCCGGATGTCCCTGCAGGACCGGAACAGCAAGGTGCAGGCAGTCATCGAGAGCCTGGAGCGAGACCTGGACCTCCTGTGTCTCACCGGTGTGGAGGACAAGCTCCAGGACAACGTCCGACCAACACTGGAGCTGCTGAGGAATGCTGGCATCAAGGTGGGTGTTGGACTGCATGACACACACGCTGTCCTCTTCCTCTCTCCCCCGTGAGGATTCCTGGTTGGAACTGGTCCCATGCCGATCTAACTGAATGGATCCGGGGGTCAGGCTAGGTGACATGTCATTGGCATGTCATTGTACCTAACAGCGTGGATCGTTGCTCATAGTATCAATCATTGGATTGACTTGTCCAGACTCAATTATTTATAAGCCGCCATCATGGAGCTGGAATATTGCTCATTGCGTCATTAAACAACAACAAACAAACAAATCTCTTAATCATTAACTTTACTCTAGTAGATATGATGTGCAGTGTTAGGAATTAGCAGTCATTAGCTTCCGAATCCTTAGTTGATGATATTATTGTTTGGATCTCTCTTAATGTCATGCTTGGTTGAACAACTGGACTATGGCCTCTGAACTTTAAACAGCAAATGCATGTTGGTGAGTATTCAGCTCTATTACATGAGTTCTTGGTGTTACAGGTGTGGATGCTGACTGGGGACAAGCTGGAGACGGCTACATGCATCGCTAAAAGCTCCAAACTAGTGTCTCGAATACAAACATTACACACATTCAACAACGTGACAGACAGGACGGAGGCTCACTTGGAGCTCAACGCCCTCCGCAGGAAAAATGATGCTGCACTTATCATTACTGGTGACTCGTTACAGGTAGGATCATGACTAGAGACTCATTACAGGTAGAATCATGACTAGAGACTCGTTACAGGTAGAATCATGACTAGAGACTAGTTACATGTAGAATCATGACGAGAGACTCGTTAAAGGTAGGATCATGACTAGAGACTCATTACAGGTAGAATCATGACTAGAAATTCATTGCAGGTAGAATCATGACTAGAGATTTGTTACAGGTAGAATTATGACTAGAGACTCGTTACAGGTAGAATCATGACTAGAGATTCATTGCAGGTAGAATCATGACTAGAGACTCGTTACAGGTAGAATCATGACTAGAGACTTGTTACAGGTGGGATCATGACTAGAGACTTGTTATAGGTAGAATCATGACTTAGAGATTCATTACAGGTAGTAGGGGACACGGGTGGCCCAGTCGTCTAAGGCGCCGCGATTCGCTGTGCAGAGTTGCGTCCCTTGGGCACACCAGAAACCTATGATTGTGGGTTCGAATCCCGGTTCGCCCAAATTATGTTTCTAGTTTTGTGGGCACCAAACCCGTGCTCGTGGGTTTCACCGATGTGGTAAATGTCTGAGACCTGCATCACTTCGGGCTTACCTCCCACATTAAGCTGACACGCCGCGATATGACTGGAATACTGTTAAAAGCGGCGTTAAACCTAACTCACTCACACTCACACTCATTACAGGTAGAATCCTGACTAGAGACTCGTTACAGGTAGGATCATGACTAGAGACTCGTTACAGGTAGAAACATGACAAGAAACTTCTTACAGGTAGGATCATGACTAGAGATTCATTACAGGTAGAATTATGACAAGAGACTTGTTACAGGTAGAATTATGACAAGAGACTTGTTACAGGTAGACAGTAATTACAGTCAGGATCATATCTGGATAACATACAGTAAATCATGAAATTATTGCAAAAAAGCTAGTGTCCCTTCTTGTATAAATAAAGTGACGCATGTTTATCTGGACATATTGGAATATGGTGTCATGTCAGGTTCACTGCACATGGGTAGAAACGATGGTATATATCACAAAGCTCACAATAATCAATGTAGTTGAGTGCTAGATTTAGACAGTAGTCCTCACCAACTACCACATGAAGCATGAATAAATGCTATGAGGCAGAGAACATATACATGTACCTGTAAGAACAACAGAAATAATAAGATAACAAATGTGAATACTTAATCACCTATCAGCGCCAATTAACTGTTGGCTTCCCTTGTTGATATATATGTTCTCTGCTTCATAGCATTCATTCACCTGATGAAGGAGTAAGTTCATACTACGAAACGTTGCATTCCTCATAATAAAGAAGTTGACATCCATAAAACCTCTTGACTTTAATGCTATCTAATTTGAATATGTGGTATTGGATCTTCCTGCTTTCATGGAAGTTTAATCACAAGAATTTGAAGTTAAGTGTGTGCAGACAGCATACAAGTTACAACCAATGTCTTGGTGTTAGCATGTGCTGATTATACCTGTGAAGATCTGTGTTACAATAGGTCGTCGGCAACCCATACTTGTTGCAGGAGGCGACTAATGGGATCGTGCGGTCAGGCTCACTGACTTGGTTGACGCATGTCATCGTATTCTTATCGTGTAGATTGATGCTATTGATGTCAATCACTGCATTGTCTGGTCCAGACTTGATTGTTTACAGACTGTCATCCTATAGGTGGGATATTGCTGAGTGCGGCGTTAAACAACAAACAAATGAACAGACATTTGCATTCATACATGTAGTTAAAAAGGCTGGTTTTCTCACTTTATTTTAATAATGCATTTTAAGCCAGGGGTTGACATTCACATTAATTTAGCCACGCAAGAACATTTTATGAAATAGAGTATACTTTAAGGATCCTAGCCAGAGACGTTTGTCCAGGTAGGATCAAGACATCTTTAACAGGTACCATTTTGTGAAAACTATGGGGAGGCCTAAACTGGTCCATGGTGCTATGTTTGAAATGGTGTGTTCCAACAGCCGATTCCTGGTCTGTTACAGGTGTGTCTGAAGTACTATGAACATGAGTTTGTGGAGCTGGCGTGTCAGTGTCCCGCAGTGGTGGTGTGTCGGTGCTCCCCCACACAGAAGGCAGACATTGTGAAGCTGTTGAAGACGCACACCGGCAAGAGAACATGTGCCATTGGTGAGCTGGGGAGGGTAGACTGTGTTCACAGTGTTTCTATACTGGCAAGATTTATACACAGTTTTGCAGGCATTATGGTACTTCTAACATTCTGATGTCAAATAAGTTGAAATAGGATCAGAAATAATTGTCACTGTCAGAAAGGCAAAAAGGAAAGTATGAAATTAATATTTATACCCCCAACAAAATGTCGGGGGTATATAGTTATACCAAGATTCCGTCCGTCCGTCCGTCCGTCTGTCCAAAAACTTTGTCCACGCAATTTCACTTAAACTATTCAGGGGATTCATCTCAAACTTAGTACATATAATCTGTGTCATATGGAGGGGTGCAGCCAAAAGAAAAAAATTGTTTTTATTAATTTTCCATTTTTTTATGAATTTTTCAAACCCTTACGTCCTTCCAAAAACTTTGTCCGCGCGAGTTCTCTTAAACTATTCAGGGGATTCATCTCAAACTAAGTACATATAATCTGTGTCATATGGAGGGGTGCAGTCAAAAGAAAAAAATTGTTTTTATTAATTTCCATTTTTTTATGAATTTTTCAAACCCTAACGTCCGTCTGTAAACTTTGTCCGGGCGAGTTCTCTTAAACTATTCAGTGGATTCATCTCAAACTTAGTACATATAATCCGTGTCATATGAAGGGGTGCAGTCAAAAGAAAAGAATTGTTTTTATTAATTTTCCATTTTTTTAATGAACTTTTCAAACCCTAACATCCGTCTGAAAACTTTGTCCGCATGATTTCTCTTAAACTATTCAGTGGATTCATCTCAAACTAAGTACATATAATCTGTGTCATATGGAGGGGTGCAGTCAAAAGAAAAGAATTGTTTTTATTAATTTTCCATTTTTTTAATGAACTTTTCAAACCCTAACATCCGTCTGAAAACTTTGTCCGCATGATTTCTCTTAAACTATTCAGTGGATTCATCTCAAACTTAGTACATATAATCTGTGTCATGGAGGGGTGCAGTCAAAAGAAAAAAAATGTTTTTATTAATTTTCCATTTTTTATGAATTTTTCAAACCCTAACGTCCGTCTGTCCAAAAACTTTGTCCGCATGATTTCTCTTAAACTATTCAGTGGATTCGTCTCAAACTTAGTACATATAATCTGTGTCATATGGAGGGGTGCAGTCAAAAGAAAAAAATGTTTTTATTAATTAAGCATTTCTTTATGAATTTTTCAAACCCTTACGTCCTTCCAAAAACTTTGTCCGCGCGAGTTCTCTTAAACTATTCAGGGGATTCATCTCAAACTAAGTACATATAATCTGTGTCATGGAGGGGTGCAGTCAAAAGAAAAAAAATGTTTTTATTAATTTTCCATTTTTTATGAATTTTTCAAACCCTAACGTCCGTCTGTCCAAAAACTTTGTCCGCATGATTTCTCTTAAACTATTCAGGGGATTCATCTCAAACTAAGTACATATAATCTGTGTCATATGGAGGGGTGCAGTCAAAAGAAAAAAATTGTTTTTATTAATTTTCCATTTTTTTATGAGTGAGTGAGTGAGTTTGGTTTTACGCCGCTTTTAGCAATATTCCAGCAATATCACGGCGGGGGCCACCAGAAATGGGCTTCACACATTGTACCCATGTCGGGATTCGAACCTGGGTCTTCGGCTCGACAGGGGAATGTCATTTTTTTATGAATTTTTCAAACCCTAACGTCTGTCCGAAAACTTTGTCCTCGCGATTTCTCTTAAACTATTCAGTGGATTCATCTCAAACTTAGTACATATAATTTGGGTCATATGGGGGGTGCAGTCAAGAAAAAAATTGTTTTTATTAATTTTCCATTTTTTATGAATTTTTCAAACCCTAAAGGCTAACCCTATCCTAGCTATTTAATTTGTAACTACTGACACTAGGCGGGTCGCGGGTATTAGTGAGCCACGCTCACTTTTGCATTTGTATCTTATTATTTCATGAGCTGTTAAGATATCAGCATCTACCTTGATATAAAATGCAGAAAATAGGTAGGAAAAATATTTGAAGAATGCTTTGTTGTGGTGTAAGAGACATGGGTGTGGAGTGCCCCTGTGACAGTAAACCTGTATGAAACCTGTATCAGCTACTTCTCCATGATAAGGTGATGGCGGCAATGATGTCAGCATGATCCAGGCAGCAGACACAGGCATCGGTATTGTTGGCAAGGTCAGTCAGCTCATCATGCTTATATGACAGAACATAGATTGTGCTTTGGAATGTTAAGTCTACTGTAATTGTCATATTTTTGTGTCGGAAAATGTTTCAACTTATCCTGTCTCGCACTTTGCACTTCATACTTCTTCTTCAACCCTTGTGTGGGAATTGTTGCAGTTTCCAGCTTAAAAAAGATGCCTGTACCTGCTTTTTCCAGAATAGCGGGTAATATCTTGTAGTATTGGGTTCCCAGACTTGTGTTCCCAATGGAGAGTTTATATACTTGTCTGTAGAGACTTATGTCTACGTCATAGAAGTCAACATTAGGTCTGACCATTTGCATGAATGTTGTGCCGATCTTCTACCTGCTAACCTCTGTCTAATACAAGTTATGTCTCAGTAGTTGGTCGATCGTTTCGTCTTTTCATTCTCAGCGTACTGTCACTGTGGTTGTGATTGATGGCTTTGATGAAGCTTCAAAAGAGATGCTATGCTGGCCCACCTTATTACTTACGGAGCGTTTTAACTTATTAACTCACCTATGCAAAGCCATGGAACGCATGAGTTACCTGATATAAAGCTGTATCTGTTTTAGTAGCGCAAAGGTTTTTTTACGAAGAAACCCTTATGCATGTTTTTTATTTTGACACTAAGCTTTATGACAATCACTGGATTTAATCATGGTTTGCAACCAGCTTCCTCATGTACGTCTCACGGTTGAGGTCCTTTTACAGGCTAGGATATCAGCGTCCCACATCCAACCGTGGAATAAGTGCATACATAATGTGAGATAGGATAAGTTTGAAAATTTGAAAGTTTTATACATTTATATACTTATTCTACCTCCCACGCTAAACGCCCACCATCCCCACACAGTTACACAGCCTGTACACTCTAGAAAGTGATCAGGTGATCAGGTCGCACAAGATTTCTGTGGGGCATGACCTATTGTTTATGGTGGTGACCAAGGTGATGATTGGGATGTGTTGGAGCGACATGTTTTTTTTTTACTGTTGTTCTAGGACTGTTTCCACCCAAGGATCTAAATTGATCAAAAGGATGAAATGCATAGTGTTTGATAGTATAAGTATATAAATATATAATTTATTGTACAATTTTCAGGAAGGAAAACAGGCATCCCTGGCTGCAGACTTCTCCATCACCCAGTTCAGTCATATCGGCCACTTGCTGGTCGTGCATGGCAGAAACAGGTCAGATTATTCACAATAACTGCTTATGGTTGTAGCACTACATCTTGTGTCCAGTATCATCTAACAACTACAGTCATGCTTAAATATACCCCTAACATCTAACATGACAAGGAGTTTCACACAATCATCACTCTCACATCCTAATCATATGCATATCTATTGTGGTACATCTTCATGAAAAGTGTATTTTGAGGAAGAAAACTTGAGGAAAAGGCTGGTGAAGTTATTTTGTTTGTGTGTTGATGATATGGAGAAATGAGTGTTGATGTATGGAGTACTCCTGCGTACAGCTACAAGCGGTCAGCGGCCCTCAGTCAGTTCGTCATCCACCGAGGCCTCATCATCAGTGCCATGCAAGTGGTCTTCTCGTCTGTCTTCTACTTCGCCTCACTGGCACTCTTCCCAGGATTCCTCATTGTGGGGTGAGTTGCGCCGGGCTCGGCTTCTTACAATGTGTCAGTTGTTTGTGAGATGTGTTGTGCCCACAATGGTCACGGGTATGTATACACTGCAGACGTTTGTCATGGCCATTTCATCATGCTTTTGTTGTGGCATGCTTGTCCAGCATCTGGCGTCATTGGCTTTAAGCATCTTCTAAAAAATCACTGGACCAATGAAGCTGAAACTGCTTTTCCGGCAAATGATGATACCTGACATTGTTCAAGAGGTTTGACGTTTGAGTCCACTGCCTATATACTCATGCACAATGTACATACAAATGTCTCAGATATGCCACTATATACACAATGTACATACAAATGTCTCAGATATGTCACTATATACACAATGTACATACAAATGTCTCAGATATGCCACTATATACACAATACAAATACAAATGTCTCAGATATGCCACTATATACACAATACACATACAAATGTTTCAGATATGTCACTATATACACAATACACATACAAATGTTTCAGATATGCCACTATTTACACAATACACATACAAATGTTTCAGATATGTCACTATATACACAATACACATACAAATGTTTCAGATATGCCACTATATACACAATGTACATACAAATGTTTCAGATATGTCCCTATATACACAATGTACATACAATTGTTTCAGATATGCTACTATATACACAATCTACAAACAAATGTTTCAGATATGTCACTATATACACAATACACATTCAAATGTTTTAGATATGCCACTATTTACACGATACACATACAAATGTTTCAGATATGTCCCTATATACACAATACACATACAAATGTTTCAGATATGCCACTATTTACAAAATACACATACAAATGTTTCAGATATGTCACTATATACACAATACACATACAAATGTTTCAGATATGTCACTATATACACAATGTACATACAATTGTTTCAGATATGCTACTATATACACAATGTACATACAAATGTTTCAGATATGTCACTATATACACAATACACATTCAAATGTTTTAGATATGCCACTATTTACACAATACACATACAAATGTTTCAGATATGTCACTATATACACAATACACATACAATTGTTTCAGATATGCTACTATATACACAATGTACATACAAATGTTTCAGATATGTCACTATATACACAATACACATTCAAATGTTTTAGATATGCCACTATTTACACAATACACATACAAATGTTTCAGATATGTCACTATATACACAATACACATACAAATGTTTCAGATATGTCACTATATACACAATACATATACAAATGTTTCAGATATGCCACTATTTACAAAATACACATACAAATGTTTCAGATATGCCACTAAATACACAATGTACATACAAATGTTTCAGATATGTCACTATATACACAATGTACATACAATTGTTTCAGATATGCCACTATATACACAATACACATACAAATGTTTCAGATATGCCACTATATACACAATGTACATACAAATGTTTCAGATATGCCACTATATACACAAAACACATACAAATGTTTCAGATATGCCACTACATACACAATATACATACAAATGTTTCAGATATGCCACTATATACAAAAGGTTTCAGATATGCCACTGTATACACAAGGTTTCAGATATGCCACTGTATCCACACTGTTTCAGATATGCCACTGTATCCACACTGTTTCAGATATGCCACTGTATCCACACTGTTTCAGATATGCCACTGTATCCACTGTTTCAGATATGCCACTGTATACACAATGTATCCGGTTTTCTCTCTGGTGCTTGACAAGGATGTGTCTCCTCAGATTGCCATGACCTACCCAGAACTATATAAGGAGTTGACCAAAGTAAGCCATATCACAACTTGGAGATAATATAGAACCATGTAGGAAGAATTTCTTTGATTCAAGAATTTGTTACTACATAAAAGTGATCTGTAAGTAAGTTTCACAAAAGCATATTCAGTAATCTAAATGTGTGTTTCAGGGTCGATCACTGTCTTTCAAAACCTTCTTCATATGGGTGCTTATAAGTATTTACCAAGGTAAGTGGAGAATTTATAACAACTGCAGTTCTTTCATGAGCCTCGGATTTAAGCAACCAGATCCCCACAAATGGAAATTGAGTGTTAATGAAAGATTTCTCACTCCTGTGACAGGTTGGCAATTTCTGTTGTTAGTATCAGTAACTGCAGCTTACAGAGCCAGGTACATGTACCTGGAACATGAAGTATGGGTGGTAAATACAGGCACTGCAGAAAACTTCTGAGCATGGTAGACTATTTTTATTTGGGCCATCCCCAATGGAATAAGAGCTGATGGATGTAAAGGTTGAGCCAAACTAGCTATTGCAGAGTAACAAAGTATCACTGAATTGGTGTGGATTGCCTGTTCAGCTGCCTCTGTGTTGATGAACAGTTGATGATGTTGGTGTTCCAGGGGGGATCATCATGTATGGAGCTCTTCTGCTGTTCGAGGAGGAGTTCCTCCACGTCGTCTCCATCACCTTCACCTCCCTCATCCTCACAGAGCTGTTGATGGTTGCCTTGACGATTCGCACATGGCACTACCTGATGATCGTAGCAGAAGTCTTCAGTCTTGCCATTTACATTGCGTCACTGGTTGTCCTCAAAGACTACTTCGGTAAATAGGATTGGTATTGCTGTTGTTGATATGTATATGCAGAATATAGTTGGATTGAAGCGCCAATATTGTATAGAAATTCAGATTCCCATGGCCAAGCTGGATGGTGTGTTCTCCACTTAAGAAGGAAATAGTAGGAGTGATTTGTTGACCAGTCAGCCAGCCAGTGTGCAAACCTGGTGGGTAACTGGAATTATTATTCAATACTGATTCCCATAGGAGATATTGTGTGTGTGAGATCAACACTATTTCAGGGGAAATGTTGTTGAAAAAACATAGTTAGGTACATTCATTTCATGTAGTCAGTATCTCTACACAACACACTCTTTGGTAACGGATGGTGCAAGGACAAAACATTCCATATCTGTGATGTCATAGCATAGTAACGTAGTAACTATTTGACTGACGTCATTGCCAAATCTGTAGACAGGCAGGATTTCTCATCACATCTTGACCAATTTACCATTTGAACAAAGGATACATTGAATTTTGTGTGTCGAGTTTCTGTAACCATATATATACAATAAAACTTACCAGCAGAAGAAAGTAACTGTGCTTCATATAAAGTTATGTGTAAATGTTATGTAAATGAAAATAATAACATAATTTGGTCATTTGTCTGATCAATGTTTTATCATAACAAATTCAATGACAACACCATACCTGGTGACAGGAGACAGAGCAACATGTCCAAAAAGAGGGGTGGTTTAACAACTCGGTTAACAATGTCAATATCGGGGGTAACCACCATTTGCATTAATACAGGTGAGTCAACGGCGTTGCATCAAAGACACCAGATGATTTGTGAATTGGTGGAACAGCCAGGGGGATGTTCCAAAAGTCTACCAAACATTAGCCCTACTGAGCTAGCATTACCGGCTTGTGCTGGTCCTCTCGTAGGTGGCATACCATCTCATCCCAAACATGATCTATGGGGGAGAATTCTGGAGGAACAGTCTCCTTATGTCTCTGCATTTGCAGAGTCTAGGACATGATTTCCTATCATCCTATCAATGTCATCCTGGTAGAGTACACTTTCATCCCAAGAAAGATCTGTCTGTACCAACGTTGAGTAACGCAAGCGTTGCTAAAATGTTCTCTTGGGTGCCTGTTGACCCTTGTAAGACCATCAGATGTGCCCTGATGACGCCTTGACTAATCTGCAAACTGTCCCAGTCTTCTGAATCTCAGATGCTGTGTACACTAAGGTATCTACAACAGAGAAATTGCCTTCCGTTGATGTACCAACAGAACATGGTTGTCTTGTGACATTCACGTGGACGACCAGCCCGTGGCAAGTCATGAGTATTGCCCTGCTGTAGACTCGCAACTTCATTTTGCAGCATACCCATGGGGCAGATGATTGTCAGAAAGCCATGGCAAGCATTATTTACAGTTGACCAAAATTGTTTTTATGAGGTAAACAATCATTGTGTGCTGTTCGATTTATAATATATGTTACATAAAATAACTAGGCCACAAAAGTTGCAGTTGAAGGTGATGTGAAGGTGCATGCCCAATATGTACAGCTCCTTGTCTGACTGATGCCGGTTTCATAGTGCTACCCACTGATCTACCATACCACATGGGTACCCCATTCATTCATACTCCGAGCCAACCAGTCCTTGATTATCCCAATAATGCTCATTTCCAGGACAAAACCACTGACTTTTGCCTCTCTGCAGGCAAACGCCCTCTATCCACTAGACTATGGAGGCAGTCTCATTTGATTGTAGAAGAGTGATATATTTTTGTGTGGTGATCTACTGTTATTATCTCATGATAGTTTCAAATTAAAACATTTGTGTGGGATCATAAATATGATCTACCCTATTGTCTTTTGGTACCAAAGTATACAGACAATTGTTGAGAAAAGGTTAATATTAATATATCCTTGGGTGAGATTTTCTAATTCTCTCCTGGGATATTGAGAGCGTAAATGTGTTGGGTGTGATTCAAATGTGCATGGTTGAGGGTTCAGAAATATGATATATCAAATTTGGAAATTATTTATTTACTTGACAAAACAGTTTGACTCAGGTTTTCTTACACATTTGCATATTATACAAAAACCAATTGTAGAGGTACTCTAAATTTCTCAAAACTGGTATTCAGTGGGCATTTCCTTTTGCAGGTCTATGCACAAAGGTCAAGAAAGTACAAACATGATGGGGGGGGGGAAATCTCTTGGCCCTTAGATTTCTCATAAATTCAGTATTTTTTTTAAGCTTTTCATAACATGACAAAATGTCCCTTTTCTACCACATCATCCCTGTTCCTAATAAGTGAGTGAATTGCAGATGCCAAGTTCCTGCAGACATGGGACTTCGTGTGGAAGGTGCTGGTCATAACCTCAGTCAGCTGCATCCCCCTGTATGTGTTGAAGTATCTACGGAAGAAGTTCTCCCCACCCGTGTACTCCAAACTGACACCATGAGCAGCTGGAAAGAGGGATCTAGATCTGCCTGCAGACGGCCACATGGAAAGCTACACAATCATTTACAAGCATTACTGTCTGGGATGTGTTTTGACGGATAGTGACATGAAAAACAAAGAATTTAAACTTGGCTTATGTGAACAAAATGACCTGAATATGTGGAATTACTTGAGGACATTCCACTCGCTGTGTGATGGAGAGAAAAAAAACTGTCCATGAGAATAACTTGAACTACCATAATCATCATTTCTATTTTTTTTTGTCAAGTTATTTAATGTTTAAGAGAATGATGTACATCTCAGATTAAAGAATCCTATATAGTGTTTTTAGTACCCAGTTTATTCCAAGTCATGGCCTCACAAGCATTAAAACATGTTATTGTGAGGCCACCAGCATGGATATTTAATATAATCAGTGAAAAAAGGATAGACACATGTCTACGGACAAGTATGGTCATGGCTCCAAGATGACATGAGCCCTGGAAATGTCTACAGTTTTAACAATTTATGTACTGATAGTACTACATATGTAAATATTTTCCACGCTTATTTATTCACATATGATCGAAGGCAAAAATGTAAATATGCATTTCTTGTGCTGCATGTAAATAAAATATGTTTCATACATCTTTGTGTTCGTCTTCAGTTGTTTGCATTCAGAGGAACCAGGATAGCAACAGCTGATGTTGCTTCACCTGTCGGAATGAACTTAAAAGCTCAAAGACTCCACAAAAAGCTTCATTTGTTTATTTGATCAAAGATACTTTTCACAATATGACTGTTATAAATTATAAAGTACAGAATATGGGATTCTCACAAAAAGCTTTTCGAAATAATCGTCTAGTAAAGTAAAAATAAAGTGGTAAACTAAATTTCCTAAAAACTTCAGATCTTTCTGGTAAAACAAAACAGTAGAAAAATATATATACATCCCCTACTACTTAGCCTGGCTTGTAGGCACCAGGATGGATATATAAATTATGCAACAGAATGGAACAAGCTCACGTTTTTTGTACCCCAATTAACACAGCATTGCTGTTGCCTTGACTGAAACTGGCTTTAGAGTAGAGGAAATCACCAAGTGATTTAAAACACAGTCCATCTGCATAACACCCTTCAAGCATTGTAACAAGTGCTGCTGCATAAAACTGTCTGTGTTTGGGAAAAGAACGCCTGGCCAAAAGTGGCCTTGTTTATACATAAAACTCCGATGCATTCTGCACGTCTAAGTTTGTCATGACTCGCTATAAAGATTTGAGTCCTATTGAAAACCGTCGTCGTGAGTGCCCCCATCCCGACTAAAACGGCGGTTGAGACTGATACGAAGCACCAGGGTAGGTTGGGTTTGTTCCCAACTGACTTGGGTAACCCATGGGCGACACAGAGTACCCCCGAGGCTGGATCTGGCTGGCCACGATGGGCGTGCTCGTGTAGGCGCTGCTTGGGTAGATGGCGCTGGT